GCTGAAAATTCAGGTTTGTTAAATCCTCAATATAGCATTCTTCTTCTTCAAAAACTCAGAGCAGTCCGTTGTGCCGACAGAATTCGGGTTAGAATGACAGTACGCAACTGACGTACCCCCCAGTGTGTAAATGTATATTTCCATCCCTCTGGTGACTGAGTCCGCGTTTTGCGTCCTCCCTCTTGATATTGCTGTTTGCACAGCAGGATCCATTAGAGCTCTTACTGGTGGTAAGTGTATATATCACTCGAACGTTGAATTCAACCAAAAGTCGCGTGGTAGGGCGGAGGATGTCGCAACATTGTCTCAAGTTGCCAATACAAGAGTACATACGAATTCCAGAAGGCGGTTGAGAAGAAAATTCGATCGCTCGGCCAACACTTTGATTCGCCTGACGTTAAGACATCCGTCGCGGATTCTTCTTCAGAGACATGAACAGAAAGCAGTAGCAGAAACGCCAAATAATGGAACCAAAAGACCCACTTCCACAGCAAGGAACATCTGGAGTTTTCTGCAGGATCTGGTGCAGTTGCGGACAAAGCAACTACGTCAGAGAAACTGGCAGACTTCTCAAGACGCGAATTGCCAAACACGCGGCAGCAGTGCGGTGAAATGATGCTAATTATCAAGTTGCGGTTCATTCGGCGAGGCCCGGCCACGCATTCAAGTTTAATAAGGCCGAAATTCTAGTAAGAGGTGACAATCGTGTGAGCCGAAAAATATTCGAGTCATGGTTAACGGGCCCCCGGTCCATAAACAAGTGCAAGGACTTGCCCAATCCATATTCGGTGCGGAGACTCAATTTATCCAAAACAAGTCGTCACCCGGGGAACGCACAGGCCACCGCGGGGAACCAGATGGCCAAGCAATTACCACGTCCAATTCCACTACACGGGATGAAAATTCAGCAAGTCAAGGCCCGCATGCCGGTAATCAAGTTATCAACACACAAGAGGGGCATTATCGTTGATTGTCTTTATTTATCATACGTGTACAGTAATGACTTTCTCCCATCAATACTGCATGTGGTACCTACTTCTGCTACTGCTTTCTACTCATGTCCCTGATGAAGTATCCGCGAGAGATGTCGAAACGTCGGGCGAATACAAGTGTTGTCCAAGCGATCGAATCTCCTTCTCAACTATTTCAAATTCTCCTTCATATTACTCGGCTGTGTAGATAAAAATGTAAAATCCATGCCGTAAGCAGTCATAGGTTTCTGAAATCGCGTTCGCAGTTCTTCCGAATTATCGCTGGGTGGTTCAAACTTTTTTTTAATATCGAGAAGCTCTGTTGAGTTTTATCATAACTTGTTATGAATGCAGTCTGGGCTAGGAGAAGTTGGTAGGGAATAGCAGCTCATAGTAAGCCTAAACACACTTTTAAGCGATGACAGCACTGAAACAATATCCGCTTTTTAGATAGCATCTTCCCACTTTACGACGGTAAATCCTCAGATTGCTCGCAAGAACGCAGCAGCATAAGGAAAAGTAAGCTTTTACCACCGCCGATTGTATTTTCCCAAGTGCCGCCTAATCTGGGCAAATGAATCACCGCTGCAGTGGAGGCAGCCAGACTAGAAAATAACCAATGAGCAAAGGAATAGCAGTTGACGGAGCCATGCATGTTTCCGCTGTGCTGCTCGTGCTTCACTCCGCA